GTCGAGCTTCGGCCCTTTAAGAGAATCATCTATTGTGATACACTTGCCTGGGATCCTCCATCAAATATTCTTGATTTGGTTAACAACTATGCAGATCATATTCCTCGTGTCGGAGGTTATGGTGACAACCACGTGTCCATTGTTCACTCTCCTGCAGCTTCGACCAATTTAGGTCACCAGTGTGACTGGAGATGCCGTAACTATCCGCCTTAGACTTGCAGTGACATCTGCGGGGTTATTGTGCTGATTGGTGCCGCCCTGGCGACTTTAGACAAGCTCCTCTTCCAATACCTCATTGGCCCACAAGAAAAAGAGGCAACCTACCTTAAACTGCCAACCCAACATTCATACTATCTCAGAAGAGTCCTGATGTCTTGGTTTGCTGAGGGCAGTATAGATATGGATTATGTTCGTCTGCAGCCCAACTGGCGTGATAATTTTCCTTCCAGGAATGATCACTCCTTTTGCCTTCGCCATGACACGACCGTCAACTCCAAGAAAAAGCTGAGGCAGTCTCTGAATTCGAAAAAGTCAGCATCACAGGCTGAAAGTAAAACTACTCCTCGCTCAATTAAGGCTACAAGTAATGAGCAGTCTAAGGGTGAAAAGTCTTCGCCATCAGGCAAGTACGTTTCTTCTCCACAGTCAGGAAAGACAACTATTCCTTGTTCAATGAATAACACCGCCAGTCATCAGGCATCTCCCATTAGAAGGCCCTCACCATCAGAAAAGGCCCCTGCGCGTCCTCAAGCAGGAATTACAGCTAGCCCTTGTTAAGCCAACGCCACTAATCATCAGCCATCTCCCCTTGAAAAGCCTTCATCCTCGCATAAAGTTCCGTCTTCACAAGCTGGAGGTTTATTCATGCCCTCTTCAACTGCTGCGATACACGCATAAGATGAGAAAGTACAAACCGTCTCACGGAACTAGTAAGGTCACAATAAGCAAACATACTGTTTGTCCTGAATGTAGAGATGAAGAATCAAGGTGAGATGAAACAGGCGACTTTAAATTTACTGTACCCCCATATTTTAACATCATCTTCTTTTTTTCACACAAAACAACATGAAAAGCAGAGTATAATACTAATTGCAGAGATCAATACCGACTTTCAGCATGAAGGGATCGTATTGTAAGTGTAAGAAGATGATTGTGCGACCTGAATCGTTCTTGTGTATACAGTTAACACGAGCGAATCGAAACAGTACGGCTATCGAAAATGAACGCTAATATCACAATACGCTATATTTATTATTTTGTCTACAGAGAAGAAAAACATTTTGAAACAACACAGGAATTGATCCAGCATCTGAATGATTCTCATGGACACACTCTTAAGATCGAGTCCGAGAGTTTCAAAAATTGGGAAGAATTTGAAAAATGGAAAGAGTGCGAAGAAAAAATGGGGAAGAGTTGGTTTGTGAAACAAAGAGGCGATCGGCGAACCAAACAGCACAAGACCAGCTGGTTTTACTGTAACAGAACCGGCGATTTCGAAACCAAGGGGACAGGAAAGCGTGCGATAAAGTCACAAGGATCATCAAAAACAGGTTGTTCTTGCCCTGCTTTTGTAACTGCCAGGACAGATGCAATAACAGGCGAAGTTGCCGCAGAATTCTGTTTGGCACATATTGGCCACAGAAAGGAAATTGCACATAGCCGTATTTCCAAGGAAATGCGTATTATTATAGCAGCAAAACTTGCCCAGGAGGTGAATATGAATGCCATGATGGATTTCATAAGAGACAGTCAAGTTGGTCCACTTACTAGAGATCATCTCACTACACGCTTAGACCTTCATAACATCGAGCATCAGTACAACATCAGTTGCATGATCTTGTGCTGTAAATCAAATCAAACGTGTCGAAAACGTCGCGTTGCTCAAATGTAACCTTTATTTCTATGTATAAGTAGGGTGAAATCCTATTGAGCATTATAAGCTCAGGATAAATTTTCAGAGATATTTGAGAAATGTGGAAATTCCAACTTATCATCAATGGTCAGTCTTAAATCCATGAAATGTTCAGATTGTTTCAAGAATTTATCTGACTTCCAGTACTCTTTGACATGACTTCTGACTATCTTACTTGCTTTCACGTGATGTCATCAAAATTTAAAAATAAGGAGTTGTCCATCTTTCTTAGTTAGAAAAGCTGATGACTTACCTTTTTACAAATTTTCAGTTTGATAGGATTTTTCATCTTGTGTTGAAGCAAAGTTGAATTTCTGAGCTCTTGTGTTACACAACATTAAAATCGCTGCTGAGAATGCTGTCACGGTTAAATCCGCTGAGATTTTTCATAATCGTAAAGGTGTTCGTATGTGAGTTAAAACTCATATAGGTGTTTATAAACCCTCGGGAGACGACTTCACGCTTCTCATAGCAAAACTTGATGACATATGCTTTTGTTGGCTTCCTATCACCATATTTGTGTCCCTTAGAAGGACACAAACATAGCATATTCATACAAAGCCTTATAAAATTAAGTAAAAAATGTCATTGAATATCTATCGCACACAGACCTGAATCTTTGCGAGATTATTTGACTGTTCATCTTTTATTTCTTTGATCTTGATTTTATTTTTTAATCGGGTTGGATGATGGAGTGGCAGTGAAAACCGCCCGCTCTGTCAGAAGACCATGTTTCTATCGAAATCTATTGGTGTGTTTTGGACATGTATGGAGGCAGGTTATATATTCACAGTCAAAGTACAATTTGTTCACAACTTTGCCACCTGGATCCTTTCAGGTACATTTCACTGGTTCCCAGAAATCCAGATTTACTTACTGCCCATCATGCCTGTGTGGCACATACGGCAGTAACGAAATCCTTCCAACCCTGCCTATCTTTAGCCAGTTTTTCATTGGTGCTCCAGCCACAATTGAGCTCCCTTAGTCCCTTCTCTACAGTACTACGCCAAGTTTTCGGTCGTCCTCTGCTTCGTTTTCCTTCAGTTGTCCAGCGCATTGCAATTCTGGCTATATTGTTACTGGGCTTCCTCATCACGTGTCCAATCCACCTCCATATTCTCCTGGTGACAAGTGTACGAGCATCCTCTTGCTTGGTTTGCCTCAGTAGCTGGTCGTTTGATATTTTCTGAGGCCAGAAGATTCTCAGAATCTTCCTGAGGCTAGCTGTGTGGAAGGATGCTGGTCTTGAGAGGTCTTGTTCTGTCATTCGCCAGCATTCCGAGCCGTAAAGGAGAGTTGACAATACGCAGCTCTGATAGATTCTACGCTTCGTCTTTGTGCTATAGCTTGCTGACATCCACACTGATCTTAAGCTCATACAGGCATATCTTGCTTTATTCAATCTGCTTTGTATATCTACACTAGTACCTCCATCTTGGCAGAGCACACTTCCGAGGTATGTGAACTTGTTGGTGTATGGAATGTCTTTCCCTCTTACCCTGATCTTTGTTGGGGAAAGGACATTAGCACACATGGCCATGATAATCTAAATGCCGAGCTGTTTAAAGCAGCTCCTGAGCTTGCGGTAACCATTCTGACTCCCTTGTTTACAAAGATCTGGGAACAGGAAGAAATTCCGACAAATTGGAGCAGAGGAGTGATTATCAAGATACCAAAGAAAGGGTCTTTAAGTGATTGTAACAACTGGCGAGGAATTACCCATTTGTCTGTGCCGAGAGATCCAGATTGTCTGAAAAAAAATTATGGATCGTAGAAGCTACCATGGTGTTGAAATGTTTTAACAGCTTAGGTTTAAATTGCATATCTAAAAGACTGTCAGCTCACTCACAAGACCAAAATAACAGTGTTTAACATAATAAATACAATCTCAATGTAATGTTTTGTCCATTGCAAGACGGTGCAGTGATCCTTTTCCCTTCATGCCCTGAAGACGTGAACTCCCCTTGCATCATTCATCAGAAATTACACATAGGTCACTTAGAAAGTTTAAGAGATGGGTTGAGAGGGAGGCGCAACACAGTAGAAAACTGAATTAGATCTTTGTTAGCAAGGTAAATTTTAGCATATTATTATACCTCTTCTTAACATTGCCTGCATGTAGGAGGAATTCATTAATTATTTATGGTTTTTTTTTATTTTTTTCTTAAAATCTCGTCGTTAAATATTACAATTCCAATGCCCTGAGTCGATCACTCATTTCCGGTTATTAGCTGATGCCGAGTCATCTTACATGGGATATAATCTAGCCAAGTGTTGTTAAGCTGAAATTTTTTGGATGGAAAAGAACAGAGTGGAAATAAGGTGCAAAGTAGTACAAAGTACAATTTGACACTTTAAAGGTACATACCCTTAAGAATTCGCCTAAATATTGAGTAAGGTTGCACCTATTGCAGATCTCCAACATTCCTTGTGTTGCTGGATTGGTGGTCAGAAGTAGCCATGACTTCAGGTCATTTGAGTTTGGAAGGTTACACAGCAATATCTTAAAGTGAAGATTTTCTTGTAGCAATTATTGCACTTGTTGCATATCAGACAGGTTATGACCAACTCATATCGAATGCGTGTCCCTTTTTAGAAGTAGCTCTTTACTTAAGTTCAAATCTGCCATCCAGGTGTATCGCCAAAAATATGCTACTATCATGTTTCAAATGCGGATTGTCAGTTTGACTGAAGTGAAAGTGTGAGCTGACGAACACAAACTTGCGCCACGATCTTTTTGGATCAATTGTTTTGGTTTTTTTTTTTCTTTTGGTGTGCGCTATCAGAGAAAAGATTTGTTTTTAATATCAAACTTAGCTGAGATGGTTGTAGTTTTCCCAATGACGCTCGCGAATATTAGCGGCAAATCGCCGGCTACATTTGTTCCTTTAGAAATGGAAGAAGTATCAGAGTGAACAAGCGCACAACCCAGCGAAAATGGAGCTTCCCTGAGTTTTTGTGTAGCAGTAAGGATAATTCTTATATCATTTGCCCAATAGACAAAAGAAGCAATTCATTTTTTCCCCCAAATAATAGGAGTGTAGTATTGACCAAATTGAAACTAATTTCTTTTTTTGGTACTCCGCAGACATTCGCGCGAGTGCAACATCTTTTACAGTTTCCTTGATGACACTCCTGTTATCGCATGTAATATCATCATCAGTCGGTAAGTCTGTTTTCTTTTAGTTATAGTAAGTTGTACTGTTGCCCTTCTCTTCTTTTATTTAAAGTATTGCCTCCTTGATTTTCCTTTTGTTTTTTTTTTTTTAATTTAATGGTACAATCTTTGTCTGAATGTTGTTCATAACAAAACAGAATTTGACTCCTTTTAGCTGCACACATAAAGACAAAAATAGCCTCATATTGTATGGTATTTACAGCACTGAACGGTCTCTTTGCCACATTGCAGAGGTTACATGTTATGATATCCTGGAAGAAAAAAAATAAAAATAGTCTTCCTCATGAAACAAGCCGTATTTATCAAAAACCAAAAGTTTTGAGAAATGAGCGAAGTAAGTCACAAAACCAAATAGAATGCTTAAATGCTGTTATATTCGACTTAGGGGGAAAGAGAAACCATCTTGTTGCAGTCTTCAAAGAGGAAATGTATCCTGTAAACAGGGTAGAGAAAGAAATTATCTAAAATTAACTTCTACCTGTAACAAATGAAAACAAACTTCAGCATTGCAACTATCGCTACAATGTCAGTAGAGTATAGCCTTAATAGTAGACGCTTGTAGAGTGGAGTGTGTCAGTCAGTTCTAATTGTTGAACCCTGCATCTCTTCGAGGACTTGCGGGACTCCTTGCTTACTCCTCTTGTAGGCCACACTTATAAGTCTCATCGCCTGCCATTGGTGGAAGATTGGTTAAATGTATAAACTTCCCGTATTTCTAACTGAAGTGATGGTTTACCTTTGACGACACTTAACACCATCTTTAGATATTAACATAAGAATGGTTTTTAAGCCGTTATAATCAGAGCAAACCTATCTGTCAAGTAAGATAAACTCCCTTTTGCTACCCATTATTCTAGGGTTGCACAGTTTAAGTTACGATACCTGCCCAAGCATTAACTGATCTACACGTTGAATTATTACTAGTAACAATTTTATGGTGAAAGGTTTCATGCGTACTACTTTGGCAAAACCCCTCGCTTGTTTGAACATGCAACCGTGAGACTTTTCTGAGACCAGACATTGCTGTTTGTTATCAATTTCATTGTTATTGATTTCTTGTGGAAACCCTGTGTAAATGCTTTCCAAATTTGTATTGCATGCGTTATCAAGAAGCGTTGTCAAAAGGGGCCATTCAAAAAGTGTGGGGGGGGGGGAATTATTTCTGGGTATGGATTTTCTATCACTTGTCTGGGTAAAATCAGCATTTGAATCAATCTCAGCAAGTTCAGTTTTCAAATACATCTCATTTGTATTTATTTTTAGGGTTATGCTGTGTTTTTTAAATTTTTCTACCTTGTGGTACATGCGCCTTGCTGTGGCGGGGTGGTTTGAGCGTCGTAATGATTCTGTGGGCTGTGCCAGCGGGAGTTTTACTCCTGGTAGGTTTAACCAAGTTGGACAGGCCAAGGAGGAATGGCCATTCGAAGCATGTTACCATATTACTTATCATGTTACAAAACCCTTTGTCATAGTAAAGTGGATAGTCTTGCTATTATTGATTCTAAACTAAATTCGTATTGCTGTTTGTGATTTTTGATCTGCATTAATCTTTGAGTATTCGGTGGAAATTTAAGAATTAATAAGGCGTTGACTTGAGAAGGTAGATAGACATAGTAATTTCTGCACCTGATTATCAAGCAGGGAAAGGTGTTGTACGTCTGTCACGGGTAGGGGACAAAAATAAGTCCATTTTCGACTCCCGCAGGACGCTAGTCACACTTGAATCAAATGTATGTTTAACCTTTGTTTCATTATTTCTCTGAAACTCGGAGGCAGAATTGGCTAGTTGGGTGCTTCGATTTTTTCCTTTCTCAAACACTCGCACAAATGAGTAACATATTTCTGTTAAGTGGTGACTGATTTGAAACCTTAGCAAGGATTCAAGTAAAGTATAAAGTTAAGCAACTATATGGGCAATTGTAGGTTACTCCCCTCCACCTTCTTTCTGGACCCTTGTCGGCATGAAGAATTCTTATGTTTATTTCACCAAATGACTTTTATGCCCTTTCTCCCTTATAAATTATATGCACAACCCAAATGTGCTGCCTTGCCTGAGCTATGTTTACTGGGCAAAATTATAACCAATCAACAATTGGATAAAATGGCTATGGGCGGAATCCCATAACCGCATTTATTTAAAATTACTGTTCAATCAAATCCTTGATACAAAGTTTGGCCCAGTAAAGGTGAGGGCACTGAAAACGCCAACAATACAATCTAATGATCTGAAAAATGGGAGTGGCTGGGACAAGGGGAGGAGGAGGGATGAAAAAACACGTCTTTAACCACCGTCAAGATGAAACGAAGTGACGCTCATATGGGAGCCTGGTCACTTGGCAAGCACAAGTATCCTAAAGGGTATTGGCTATAATCCAAATAAATGCCACCCCAAGTTCCAGGCCCCCCAAAGAAATAAAAAGTACACAATGGGAAGAAGAAGCATAACAATTCTATTTGCAAGAAAATATTTCCTTGAGTCAGAATTGTGAAAAGGCTAATTAGATATTATAGAGTTAAGGCTTAGTAGCTAATTAGGAGTATATGTTTTTTCCTTATGAGAATATTAGTTAGACAAGGAAACTTCTTGCCTTCGTAAACTTTTGGATCATGCTAGTTTGAGGGTATAAATATTAATTTGTAAAGGCACTTAGTTTACGGTGTAAACCCTTTTATCGTGGAACTTCTCGACGACTTTTTTGGATGAAATATGATTAATTTGGTGTCGGGTTTATTTAGAAATAAATCATTGTAATCTTAAAGATGTTGGTTTTGTCTTAAGTGCATGGTAGATTGCAGAATATTACTAGAAGTTTATTTTCACGAACGTCGCGTGAAAAAAACCTGAACCCTGTCTATGTATGGATGAAGAATTTAATGGAGTTGTACTCCGTGGTGAAGATGTAGTTTTTGCCCCAATTATCATCTATAGCCTAGAAACTAGACAAAATTCATGCGGAGCTACACGTAGACGTGGGGTGCTGAGAATTAAAACGTCAACCATCACAATTGCAGTGTGAGCAGGGTATTAGAACTGCAAACGTGAAGTGGAAAAAGAGGTGAGGCATTTTTTTGCAAAGTAGCTCTATTAAGGAGCCCCCCATTATGAACATGAGTGGGCTAGTTTAGGATGGATTTTATTCATGAGTTCAGATGAATATTAATAGGCCTTAACACATTCTGCCGGCAGAATTTCGAGCATAATAGGGCCTCAGGAGCAGAATATATGATTAGGGCATAATCTTTGGCCACTTTGCATATTCTGGGGCTTGGGAACGAGTCCGAGAGGGAGCTGGGCACGAGCATCCGAGCAAAACAAGATGGCGGTCTGTGACAGCGGATGGACAAAGACATTTCTGATATGGTTCATGGTTGTCCCAGACTCTTTTTACAAGTAATGACCCATGTTAGTTTTAAGTATTAAATAATACATGCTCATATTTTGGGTTAGCCTCATCCTGGAAGGGCGATATAATGTCTTATTTATCATGTTTGAGTATTTTGAACCCAGGAATATCGATTTTTACCGAAGCATAATTCGAGCATAATAGTACTTTTGGAGCATAATCTCGAGCAGAATAGCCTTTCTTGGAGGCAATTCTTTTGAGCAGAATAGCCTTTTTTTCGAGCAGAATGTGTAAAGGCCTAAATACTAATCATAACGAGTCATGTGACAAAGTGTCACGTCAGAGTATCAAGTAAGTCACGTAGGGTGTTATATTGATGGGAGGAAACGGAACGACAGGTTTTTTAATCAAACAACTTTAGTATGTCAAAAACCTTGAATGACAAGCGAGACGCGTATTCTTCCTTAGTGTGCCCAATACATCATAAACAGAGAATGAGGAATATAACATTAATGTAGTTCTCACAAATCAGTCAATATTGATACTATTTCTTTATCCTCAGGTGCAGGGCTCGACACTAACTTTTCAACTTACTAGCCAAGTGGCTGGTGACATCTTAGATGTTACGACAATGTCAGCTCGTTTACTAGCCAAACTGGCTAGTGGAAACCGAAAACCACTAGCCAAAACTGAATTTCTACTAGTCTGTGGCTAGTGGGCTACCGTTAGTGTTGGGCCCTGGGGTGTCAAACGTTTGTTGCCAAAGGGCTATGTTTTATAGATGTGAGGATCCCTGAACGTTTCTTGTACACCAACTGATACGTTTTGATTTGCTCCACGATAGAAATAGTATAGTTCTTGAAATTTCCTACAATGTGGTTTGGCTTTGTGCATATTCTTCAGGGTCTTGTATCTCATCTAATACGTTGTTACATGGCACATTGAAATGACGTTACTTAATCCCTCATTGCGGAGAGATAGACCACTTGCTTTGCTTTCTTAATTCGAGTGTGTCAAATATCAGTATGTTTTGGACCTCCAGAGGCAAGTTTTGTCAGGTAGTCTTCAGGAGGAAGTTCATCTTTGAACTCTCCACGAAAGGTTGCAATGGGTAGATTTGGTGCTCCAGGAAGAGACGAGATGACTGTCTATCGTTGTACAGGACACGTTCTTGTAACACATCCATAGCATCGTAGAGACGGGTCCAACGTGTGCTGAAACACGCTACAAAGATCTTCAGATTTGGTGAAATTGGGTCATAGTCCGTCTCGTCTTTGAAGTGAACTTCCACGACCTCCTCCGACAGGGAGCTGACGTATCGATTGTCCTACACGTCAAATTCATGGAACTCACTGAATTTCCGGAGATTTCGATGAATTCTTGGATTTGAGTTTTGTCACTGCGTTGCTCAATTTTGAGTCTAATATCATTTTGGTCAATGAGCATTCTTAGGATTAGGATTCTTAGGGTTCTTAGCACGATACCTTCACAAGCTCTATAGGCTACAAGATGTTCTTGGCTTTTTTGCGGATCATTAGTCACTTCCGTTGGCCATCAGCAAGCTTCCTCTTTGATTTTAAGCCACGTGTTCACATAATCTCGGAAGAGACCTTCAAGGGTTTCAGGAAAATGTCAAACTTCAGGACTAGTTAAGATGACGTACCCCCTTTCTTCATGTTTTTTTCCACCTATGGGGTGTACCACTTGCCTGTAATGCTTTCATTCGCCATTTCGCAAATGGAATAAGAAAGAGGTAACTTTTGGGCTCGGTAAAGAGATAGAAAGATTGTAATCTCTTAGCTCGGTTAAAAGAATAGAGAAAGATGTTTCTGTGTTGTCACGAGCGTTACCATCTCTCTTAATCTATCTGCAAAACATGACGCTATCGACCTTGCCGATCCTAGCGTTATGATAATGGAACGACTACTGGATTTGGTTGCAAGACTAAATGAAGTAAACGCTATAGTTTTAAGGGATCTGGTCGGAATGAATTAGGTTTTATACACTGGGGTGAATAACTTTTGTTGAGGGATAATCAGCCCCATTTGTGGAAGGGCGGCGTAGTAATAATAACAACCTTTATTTTAAGAGGGTGACACTAATTACTTTGAAAAGTATTCTCCCTAGTGCCCCTCTAAAACACCCACCCCAGGGGGGGACAGTAATCTCGTGTGTGGGAAATTAACATCTCCTACCCCAACCCTGCAGGAGACGGGACCTGGAAAAACAAGCACTACCATAATCGGAATTTCTCCGAAAGTATCCTTTCCTAAAAAAAAAAAAATTAGCAGCAGAGCTTACATGGATATTGAAGTTTCTAAATATCATTGAATCTATTCGGGGAAAATTATACTTTGGGAATGGGTGTTGAAGACATCCGAGGCAAGTTGCAAAAAATTGCAAAATTAGAAATTTTGAGGGCTTCAGTATTTGGCTCAAACAGGCTTTAGAGAATATCAGCTTCAGAATTATTTTCTATCATCTTATCTGTTATCTACATTTGATTGACTAGGTTTTGGCCAGCGAATTTTATGAAATATGCATTGAAACAAAGCCTACCTTGCAACTTTTGGAAATTTCTTCAGGATGCATCTGTCGTATAGTATGGGTTTCTCCTCATTTCGCTCGCACCATTTTCTTGACCAAATCTTGCACAGACTCTAGCGGAAAGGTCAAATCTAAATGGCTAGCCTGACCGAACATCTACTTTTAGACCACAGTGATGATAACTTAGAAGTTTACCAATTGGTTTAACTATCTTGATCCTAGCTGCACCTTGTTTCAAGCCTTCACCCAAGGCGTTGGTAGCAGTAATAGCGATTTCATACACCTCTCCTTTCTTTAGCTTAACTTTTAATAGTCTGACTTTTACATTCGTGATTTTCCCTATTTCTTTCCAGTCTCCCACCTTCCCATCAGTCACCGTCCTTTGGTACGCAGTGTAATGGGTGATAACTTTTCCATTTTTTCCTGGCTCCTTCCACTTTAGGGTAATTGTATCGTCTTTTGTTTTAATGGGAAGCTTGTCTATTTTCACTACTTCCGGGGGCCCTGGATCAATCACAACAACGATGAAAGTAAGAGTTCTGTTTCAATTACTCACCTACTTAATGCAAATCTAGATAGAACTTGTTTCAATTCAAGGAACACCTGACCTTATCTGAACCTACAAATTATCAATTCTCGTTAAATCTGATATAATTTTTAACATATGAAGTGTGGTGTTATACAGTGATTTCCAGCCTTGAAAAAAGCCTTAACAACATATGTGAAGAAATTTGATAATTATTCACGTGTGTTTGATACCGCCAATCAGCTGCTGACGCGTTAATCGCCTTTCGTGGCAATCTGTCGGTTGATGCATGAATGTTTAAGCTTCACCATTCTCAATCTAAAGTCGCTCGTCGAAATTTTCTCGGATTATGGCTGTTGAAAACACTGAAAATTTCGCATCGCCTAAAGACATCGAGGCTCAAAATGTCCTAGAACTGGAAAAAATCAGAATATGAAATAAAAAACTCCAAAGCTGAGTACTTTTACAACTATATTTCGCGGATTGTGGATCCTATATTTTTCATTTATAAATGAAGTCTAGACTTCTTGTCAGTAAGGGTTTATTGTGTTTCTGTAAGAAAAAAAAAATAACACATGGTTGCTCGTACAAATGGAATTTCTCTTCCCATGTTCAGCTCGATATCTCACACGCTTACTGCGCTCACTTGTGGGCTATCGAGTTGAACACTCGAAGAGAAATTCCTTATCAACACTCGCCCATGTATTATTCTCCATGACATTCACAATGAGTAACACGGGAGTCCGTAAATTGAAAGCAGCTTTGGGTGATAAGAGAAATAAGTGGAGAGGATATGATGCCATTTAAGTTGTGGTGGTGCGTAATTCAAATATACACCCTATTAACTATGTCTATTAATATAATATCCTGAATTATACCGCCATTTTGATTGGTTGTCTGTAGTACTGTAGACGGGCTGATGTATAGATGACGTCGTCATTCGTCAACTTGTTTGTCTTTCGATTACATAAACAACGCGGTTTATGTCCAGCTCGTCTGTAGGTCCAAAAAGCTAATATTTTATCCGTGATCTTGCGATGCACAGAAGCATCCCAAATGGAATGTGTGTTTTTCAAATTGTGCGGAAAGCGTTGAGGAGTACTCTTTCTTATTTTGGCCTTACTAAGGTTTGGTTGAAACAGGTAAGTCAGCGAAATCTTTGACTCGCAGACCTATAGCCATATACTAGGTAAGGGATGCCGCGTGAGTTAAATTACAGAATGTTCTAAAGGTTCAGTCAAGATACGAGGACGTTAATAGCAGCCTTCCCATTGGTATGGGGATTCAATTCTAGAAATGTTCACGCTGACTCTATGTCTCTCAGTTATACCCAAAGGAATAAGTTGCAGTACAGATAAATCAATTTGTACGCTATATCTGAATAGAATTTTAAAAAAATATGAGACGAGCAAAATCTGATATAGCTACTAATACTTCTGTATATAAATAGCGACACTCTTGTCATCATTCATAATCTGTTGAACAAGTTCCCTAGTTGGAAACAAAATGAATGGTTGAAGTGCTCAGTTGCGCTACAACAAGAGCGTTATGGAATAGGCAATCCTTACCTTCAAACTTTGTCTTCAATGTCTTTACAGCAGCATCTCCTTCAAATACAGAATTTCTTGCAAACACTTGCACCGTGTAGTTTGCGTCTCTTTCCAGACCCGTAAAATTGTGATATGTTTTAGGAAGACCAACGATATTAACACTGTCTTTCTTGGTGTCGCCCTTTAGTATGATCACTCGATAGGCTGTGATAGGACTCCCTCCATCATCAGCTGGTGCAGTCCACCTTACTGTTAATGAATTGGCGTGAACGTCTGCTTCTGTTGATGTGATGGATGCTTGGCCGGGTTTCTCTGCATAAAAAGAACACAATATTTGTGGCTAATAAAAACGAAGCCCACATGAATCTGTTTGCGTCACCTTCGTCTTGATCGCTTCCATTAATCAGATCCTTGCCCTTGTGAAAGACCAAGTAATAAATTCACCACTGTTTAATAAACGGTAGAATGAGAGGAAGCTAGTGCACTCCCTTGACAAAGCTGATCCTGGACCCTTAGAAACGTCGTGAACTAATTGCCTTCATTTGAAAAATGTTCGGTAATATATTTCATGTATTTCAAAGGTCACACGGGAAAGACAGCTTAAAGGTATTTGTAAGTTTCTGTAGTTAGTGTTCCTAAAGTTTCATCAATCCATAATTCCAACGAATGAGAATTACACAAAGAAAGCAGTTAAATAGAACCTTAATCAGTTAAGAAAGGTCAAAGAGAACCAGCAACTAAAAATGCTGACTCAAAAGTTTCTTCTAAAGCTATAGGTCAATGAATTTTTACTCGTAGATATGCAAACCATAGGAACGAGTATTGTTGGCATTCAGTATACAAATCTCGTTGGTACGGCCTTAGGAATCTGGGAAGAGCATGCATCTCAGCAAAGATGGCAAAGATGATTTTCAAAAATAGCAGCTCAGTTGTTGAGGACTTTCCATACGTGGGGATGACGG